TACACATGCCAGGTGCTCTGACCTTCACTATTGGGTACCATTCACATAGTTCTGGAGCCTTTTACATATTAAGTATGTAAAAGTCAGCCAAAGTCACTGGTCTCATTAGAGTTAGGATCTGTGTGATTAGAAAGTTTGTTTATCTTACAGAGTTTTTTTTTTTTTAATCTTACACAGTTTTGTGGGGCCATTTGTATTTTGACTAACAGCTTCTGTGATTGTTAGTGAGCTCATATGTTGAGCTTTTAATTTAGTATCCAGTTCTTGCTGGTTTACTTTATTCTGTTTTCAGGTCTCTTGTATTTGCTGCCAGACTTCTGTAAGCCCTAACCCTATCTTTCTCAGCCTAGGGCTTGTGAAGGCGTGCTTATTTACCTGGATGGTTGGTCACCCATGGCCCGCCTTGTGGGGACCATCATTTCCTGCCATCTTCCATCCACACTTCCTGGTATTCCTCCTGGGGAGACTGGCTGACATATCTCTTTGAGAAGCTGCTTCTGGGAGAAAAACAAGATTTGACAATGAAGGCTAGATTGTATTTTACTTTATTTGCCAAATTGCTTTCTTAGTAGCCTGAAGAGAAACAGAAGCTTTGTGTGGAAAAGAAAGAGTTTCTGTGCTCCCTTGAAACCAGCTACCTGGCTCTCAGCCGGGCCATGTCTGTACTACCAAAACCAAGGTAGCAAGTCAGGTTTAAGAACAGGTATTTCAGGGGATGTGTCTGTGCCTGCAAATGATTCTTGAGACAAGGTGATAGGACCTAAGATTCTTCATAGGTTTTAAAGCTAGGAAAGGTAAGCAAAAGAAGGGGTGACATTGTCACTTGACTTAGTAAATGCTAACAGCAAAGTTATATTAAGAAAAAGAAACAGGAAATGGAGCTGGCTGGGGACTTTTGGGCTAAGGGGTCAAAAACAGCAAGCCAGACAACTTGCAATTTCTAAATGAAATTAATATGCAGCCTTCATTTGGCAAGGATGAGCCTGAAGGCATGGAAAGAGGTCAAAGGGGGTGGTATATAGGTAACAGGAGTCGACTGTGGCTTTGGCCACATGTCTGCTCCTTGTGGACCTTACTTGGCTTACTTAGGGCCTGATGATGATATATAATGATGATGATATTAAATGGAGTAGCCCAGGGACCTAACCCATGCTCTTTTGCTCAGAGTGCCAAGCTGGAAGCTCTGATAATGCAGCCTGCTCCATTGGATCAAAAATGATCAAATTTTAAAACTTTAATATTCAGGAGGCATTATTGTGATTTATCTCTTTTCTCAATAGATGAGTATTCTTTTTCCTTTCTCTCCTCTTTCATTCCCTTTCTTTAAATTTAGTGTTCCAATAACATCCTGCAACCAAAAGTCTCATTTTCCTTACATGTGCCACAGAATTAAAGATATCTTTCCTGCCTTTCTTCGTGGATATTCAAGAGGGCCCAATAGATGAGTGAGTAGCTGAAAGTGTTGTGTAAACTCAAGAGATAAAAGCGGTGACAACTTTTTGAGCACAAAGGATAACATCCATATTATGGAAGGAAGTTTGGAGATCTGATCAAAAGCAGTTTGGGTTTTTTTTTTCTTTTGTCAGCTTTAAAAAGTTGCGTCCTAGGGCTGGGAAGGTGGCTCAGTGGTAGAATGTTTGCCTTGTATGCACAAGGCCCTAGGTTTGATTCGTCTAGCACCACATAAACAGAAAAATCCGGAAGTGGTGCTGTGGCTCAAGAGCGCTAGCCTTGAGCTGAATAGCTGAGGGACAGTGCCTAGGCCCAGAGTTCAAGCCCGAAGATGGACATAAATAATAAATAAATAAATAAGTTACCTTCCTTTTAATGTTAGATGTGTTAATTTAGTGCCCATATTTTACAGCTCACAATTCCTGTGCCCAAGACTCTATGCCTATTTACGTTGGTACAAGTTAGTGGTGGGGAGCCCAATAGTTGCCAAATTGCTTTCTCAGTCTGCATAGTATGGTTGCTCATTGTTGGGTCTGCTGTGGGCTTGTTGAAGGCTTGCTCTGTGCACTTGTCTATCAGAGATTCACCGGCTGATCTCATGGTAGGACTCAAAGGCTAAGAAAACAAAGGAAAGAGAGAAAAGAAAGGGGGAGTAATGATGAACTGTGCTGTTTTTCTGATTCTTTGTCTTCAGGGCTTTCTTACATGGTCAGAAAGCTGCTAGCCTCACGTATTCCTAAGGGAAGAGGAATTATTCAAAATTCCAGCAGGTCATTATACAAAAAACATGGGATTTAGAAATAGAGAACCTAGATTCATGTCCCAGTTTTATCATTTATAAGACTTGTCTTATGTAACTCAACTTATCTGAGCCCAGTTTCTTCATTCATAAAATGGAGGTTGCTGGTATTAGAAGCTGAGATGCATGAGGAAACACTTTGTAGATTGTAAGGTCCACTAGAGGTGTTATTACTTTATTGTCATTCCCATTCAGATCCGGGTGATTTCTTTTTTTCTCCAAGTGGAAATTAGGCTTTAGATTAGATTTTGCATTTTCAAGTTGCCCAGTGAATGATGATGACTCTGTAGAAAAAGTTGGATGCAAATAAAATGTAACCCTTGAATGAGATACAGAGATTTCTAAAATAGGTGTTGGGGGGTGATGATTATCCTTACCTCAGACCTTAGATGCTCACACTTCAACTCTACTTTTATGTTTTGGAAAGACTGGGCTACTGTGTGCCAGATGAGGTCATAGGATTCTGTAGGCTTGCCTGTGAGCAGGTGGTGCCAGGAATTGGGAGGCCAGCCATGGTTGGGATGGGTTAGAGTGGGGTAGGAGCCCTTCCCAGGGACAGAGACCTGATAGGTCTTCCTATTTGATATTTGGCTTGATAGGATCCAGGCTGTTCTAACCCTCAGTTCCCAGCCGGGGAAAGAAAACTTTGCTGGCCTCTAAGTTTTCTTTTTTTTTAACCTTTGTTCTATGCTGATTAAAACAAATTAATCTCTGTAGGGCGCAGGTGGCTCATACCTGTAATCTTAGCTACTCAGGAGGCTGAGATCTGAGGATCACAGTCAAAGCCAGTCTAGGCAGAAAATTCCATGAGACTTCCATCTTCAATAAACTACTCAAAAAAGACAGAAGTGACACTGTGGCTCAAGTGGTAGAGTGCTCACCTTGAGCTAAAAGAAACTCAGGGACAGTGTACAGGCCCAGAGTTCAAGCCCTAGGACCAGCAAAACAGAACAGAACAAATCAAAACAGTCTCCAGTAAGGTTTAATGCTCAATCTGGTGGTGGGGTTGATATCTTAATGTTACCAAGCTGAGATGATCTATTGAGTTTTAACAGTGAAAAGAGCTTCAGGAAATGATCATACCTTAGGTTCAGTGATTTCACCTCTGAGATTTCAACCCAAAGAAATTATTTGATAGGAAAAGCCTATGCTGAATTTGCTCTGTATTGGCTATAATAGCGTTAGGGGCAGGCACCTAAAATATCCAGCATTAGATGATTTTTACTCTAAAATGTAAATTACCATAGTGTAGGCACTTTTTGTTCCTTTGTTGTATCTTTAGCACCTAGCAGTGCCTGGCACATATATGCACAGTGACATTTGAATATGAAAAAATTTGTAGTAAGAGTACTATCCAGCAACTGCAAATGAAAAACATATTAATGAAATGTGATAGTTTCTATTAATAAATGTGAAAAGGCACATCATAGGTATTTTTTTTTTTTGAGTGGGGACTTGAATTCAGGGTCTGGACACAGCTTTTTTTGCTCAAGGCTGGCATTCTGCCACTTGAACTACAGTGCCACTGCTGGCTTTTTATTTCTAATTGGAGATAAAAGTCTCATTTGTCTATTTGGCTCAGAACCTTTATCTTTAGATCTCTGTCCCTGAGTAGCTAAGATTATAGGCGTCAGGCACCACCTCTCAGCTACAATCTTTTTGATAGAGGAATAAACAAGCTTGAATGGAGATGTCCACATAAATATTCAAATGGTAACATCATGGGTGATCTTTTCAGATTTTGTAAAATTTTGAAAATGACTATGATTTGGTGGCAGAATTTTTTTCAATCAACTATATTCTTCTTCCCCTGCCCCCCGCACCCCCAACCAGGAGATTATTTGAGAGATAGACCACCAGCCTGTAGAGCCAGCTCCTCCATCTTCCAGGCAGCTTTTGTCAACACATAACACCTACACTTTGTGTCTGTCAGCTTGGTGTGGAAGCTGACCTCTCGAAGGAGTGATAGAAACTGCACAGTGTTGAAATTGTGTGGGACATATTGCAGAAACATGTCCATACATTTATTATCCCATCTTTGAACTGAAGACATTTTATAATAATAGGGAGAAGAATTTTAAGATTATAGAATTTGCTGGGTGGGTGGTTAATTCTTAGAATTCTTTCCCTGGTTCACGGTTTTGGGAAGCTATTGAAAGTGGTGTCTGCTTTCCTTCACTCTTGTTTTAGCTCATGCTATGTTAAACTAGTGTTTTTTTTTTTGGTTTTTTTTTTTTTTTTTGCTCAACATCTCAGGGTGTTGAGAGTCAGTATTTTATGAAATGTCTGAGTTATGGTATTTGGCAAAGCCCAAGATTTTTTTTTTTTTGGGTCCGGTCGTGGGGCCTGAACTCTGGGCCTGGGCACTGTCCCTCAGCTCTTCAGCTCAAGGCTAGCACTCTACCACTTGAGCCACAGCACCACTTCCGGCTTTTTTCTTATGTGGTGCTGAGGAATCGAACCCAGGGTCTCGAGCATGCAAGGCAAGTGCTCTACCACTGAGCCACCTACCCAGCCCCCAAGATTTTTTTAGAATTAAAATAATCACCTTTCTGGTGAGCTTTGGTGTCTGAGCTTGAAAGTCTTGGTTTTCTGACAGAACTGGGTTCTGATAGATTAAATGTGTTTTGGAGAAAATGCCCATTTTTCTAACCCTATGAGGATGACTAGTGGTCTCCAGACATTGTTAGCCTATTTTGCCTGTGAGCCTTTCCATTCACATAACTTCTTCATCTCTTTGTTTCTCTAGCCATAACCAACAGACCACAGCATTCAGGCATCCTGTGACTGGGCAGTTTTCTCCAGAAAACAGTGAATTTATTCTTCAAGAAGAGTAAGTATTTTTAAAAATTCCCATTCAGGGATGGATTGGGAGCATTTGGACAAAACAAAACTTGTTGTACTATTTTTTTTCTGTTAGGTAGAGAGGCTTGGAGGTGGATTGGTTGGTTTAAAATGAAATGTAAGAATTTTCTTTTTCAGTCTCCAGACTCAGTGAGAAGATATGGGACAGGAGAGATGATATAGGAACATGCTGTGGTTGGTACAGTCACAGCCTCTTAAAATTCCCTTTCTCCTGAAGCATCAGCTTACATATTCACTGTGCTGACTAGATTCTGGGAGTAGAGCCAGCCTCCTAGACAAGCCTCAAGTCCAAAGACAGAGTCCAGAAGAGTGGAAGCTATAAGACCTACTACTGGCCTCAGACATTTTGAATCCTTTCTGCCCTTTTCTTTCTTTCTTTCTTCTTTTTCTTTTCCCCTCCCTCCCTCCCTCCCTCCCTTCCCTCCCTCCCTCCCTTCCCTCCCTTCCCTTCCTCCCTCCCCTCTCCCCTCCACTCCCCTCTCCTCCTCCCTTCCTCTCTTTCTCTCTCTCTCTCTTTCTTTCTTTTTCTACTTGTCCTGGGCACTGTCCCTGAGCTTCTTTTGCTCAAGGCTAGCTCTCTACCACTTGAACCACAGCACTACATCTGGCTTTTTCTGTTGATGTGGTACTGAGGAATCTAACTCAGGGTTTCATGTATGCTAGGCAAGTACTGTACCACTAAGTTATCTTCCCAGCTTCTGACCTTTTCTTTTCTTTTCTTTTTTTTGGGTCCAGTCGTGGGGCCTGAACTCTGGGCCTGGGCACTGTCCTTCAGCTCTTCAGCTCAAGGCTAGTGCTCTCCCACTTGAGCTACAGGGCCACTTCCGGCTTTTTTTTCTTTTTGCATATGTGGTGCTGAGGAATCGAACCCAGGGCCTCATGCATGCAAGGCAAGCGCTCTACCACTGAGCCATCTTCCCAGCCCTGACCTTTTCTTTACATAAGAACTTTCTAGCTCTTCAGCCCCATTTCAGCCAGGACTCTGGGGCGTCCAGAGGTGGGTTCTGCCTTCTGGAGCTTGTCTACTTAAACATACAGATGCAGCCCAAACAGGACGTGCTCTTTTCTTAAAAAATTAAGGCAAGAAAGGTGCACAAGTGGCTTTCTTCCCCTTTATTCATCTAGCTGAAGAAAGCATTCACTTGAGAAGTAAAGGGACATTATTAGCTCTAAACAGTCTTTAAGTCATTTTTCCTTTGCTCAGGCACTTAGACCAAATATGATCTTAAGCATCAATATTCATAGTTTTTTGTTTTTGGTCGGTCATGGGGCTTGAACTCTGGACCTGAGCACTATCCCTCAGCTCTTCAGCTCAAGGTGAGTACTCTACCACTTGAGCTACAGCACCACTTCCAGTTTTCTGGTGGTTTTTATTGGAGATAAGAGTTTCAAGGACTTTCCTGCCCAGGCTGGCTCTGAACCATGATCCTCACATCTCAGCCTCCTGAGTAGCTAGGATTACAAGCATGAGCCATTGGCGCCCGGCAATATTTTTAAGCCATTTCCTTGCCCTGGTATTTTGAACTTCTAATGTGGAAAAATCTGAATATATCAAAGTAGAGAGATGTGCTAATAAATCCAACTTATTATTTATTTATTCATTCATTTATTTATTTAGGGTGCTTGAACTCAGGGCCTGGGCACTGTCCTTGAGCTTTTTGTTCAAGGCTGTGCTCTACCACTTGAGCCATAGCTCCATTTCCAGGTTTTTTGGTAGTTTAGTGAGTCTCGTGGAATTTTCTGCTTAGGCTGGCTTCCAACTGCGATCCTCAGATCGTAGTCTCCTGAGTAGCTAGGATTACCGGCATGAGCCACTGGTGCCCTGTTTCTACTCATATTTTTAACTTCATCTATATCTTCTTTCCTCTCTTGATTATTTGAAGTAAATCCAAAACATATCATTTCATCAGTATGGTATTTTCAACCTTGCTCATTATCATACAGAACTCGTTAGAGATCTATCACTGATGTTTACTTGTTTACTTGTGATAGAGGCTTATTCATACAGATCTCATTTATGCAATAAGCCTGAGAGGCAGACCAGCATCACTATCTTAGAGATGAAGGAACTGTGATTCAAAGAAATAAAGTCATTTACCTAAAGTTGCATGGCCAGAAGTAGAGAGATGTTAACTCCAGGTTAGCTGGGCTTTAAGTTCTGTGCTATCTAGGAATGGTATGTTTTCTTTAAGTCAAGCCCAGCGTCTGTCCTGGTCAGAGGCGGCTTGTTAAATTACTTTGGTGCTGGTGGTTTATAGGACATTATGGCCAGTCTCTGAGACTGGGAATGTGACTTCAAGTCAAGCATCATTAATCCCTTATGCTCTAAAATCTAAGACATTTTTAGTGCTGTATTGGCACTTAAAAAGATTTTTAGATTTGGGACTTTTGGATTAGTAATTTCCAACTCGTAAAATCAATACAAGCATTCCAAAATCTGAAAAAGTCTGAAATCTCAAAAACTTGTGGTCCTAAGCATTTCAGGTAAGGGATATTCAGCCTGTAATAGAAAAAGAATAGAAGATAAAGATTGTATTCTCTTTTAGCTTGAAAAAGAACATTGTGTCAAGACAAAACCAATGTGAATTCCCCAAATTCCAGCTCAGAATGAGTTTGTTTATAGACTCCTGAAGGTCAAAAGCTCATTCAGTTCACTCCCCTTCGAGAGACACAAATGCCTGCTGTCCGAAGATCTAGATGGAGGGTCATTAGTAAGGAAAGCTACCAGCTTCAATAAAAGCTGCCAGAGGGTTGGGGGTGTAAGTTAGTGGCAAGTGCTTGCCAAGTATGCATGAGAGGTCCTGACTTCTATACCTAACTTTGGGAATGGGGAACAAAACTACTAGAGATGCATAGGCTTTGTTGAATAGTTCTATCACACTTCCTTTCCTTCTTATTATTAACAAAAGACTATCTCTTGGCTACTTATGAGAAGGTAATTTTTTTTTCCTCCCACCCAGAATATCTCTGTAATCAATCTCAATTCCATCCAGCTTCCAAGGAAAAGATGTTCCTTCTTTGCAAGGCCATTTTCTAGATGTCTTAAAGGTACCAGCTTATCTCAGTGTGGGTGGCACAGTGTAGCAAGATAGGCCTTGCAATGGGTAAGGATACCTAGCAACTGATGTGATATTGCCTGTACTTATTCATAAACTCCTAAGAATGCTTGCATAGATCAAGAGTAGCAAGGCCAATGTAATCCTGTCAATGAGGAGTTTACTGTTGAGTAAAAAAATATAGATAATGAAATGAAATTACAAAGATGATAAATGTTTGTGATAGAAGAAATATAGAACTCAATGGGAACCAACCCAAGGGGAGTCTTACAAACCCCTTTCCCATACAGAAGGCCTATGTTTAAGTTGAGACTGCCTCACTCAAGAGACACAATCTAGGTAAAGACCAAGATGAAGCATGAAGGATCTTCACTAGTTAAGCTAGAGTGATTAATGAAGAGCACTGGGTAGATTCTGAAGATACCTGGGAGATGAAATTATCTGACCTGGGGGCTGGGAATGTGGGTCAGTGGTAGAGTGCTTGCTTTGCATGCATGAGGCCCTGGGTTTGATTCCTCAGCACCACATAAGCAAAAAGAAAAAAAAGCCGGAAGTGGCGCTGTGGCTCAAGTGGTAGAGCGCTAGTCTTGAGCTGAAGAGCTGAGGGACAGTGCCCAGGCCCAGAGTTCTGGCCCCACGACTGGACCCCCACACACACATGAAAAAAGAAATTATCTGACCTGGTGATTGGATTGAGGAAGAAGGCAGTGCTGGCCCTATATAACCTGCAGTTCTGGCTGATCCACAGAAGTAGGGCTCTTTGAGCCTGTCACTAACAAAGTGGTTTTCCTATATGACTAGAGTGCTTGTTTTCTTATTTCACCTTATTTTTTATGCTATTTAGTTCCCAAGGGCCTGGACATCAGTCAGTAGGTCCTGTTACTTTGTACACAGATGGTAAATGGCAGGCAGGATTTCATTCCAAGGAAGTTTGGCCCTAAATGTGCTTCTAAACACTATGCTACACTGCCTCTTACTTTAATAGTCTACAGGGAAAAATCCTCATCTTTAACTGTACTTTGTAGACTGAGTGCTGAGTTTGCATTAGTAATATAGTATGCAGTTACTGCTTCATAGAGGTTTTAATTGTAATTGTAGTTGTAGTTATGAAATTGAGTTATAGTAACTTTATGCTGGCTTGAAAGATGCTGAACTTTCTCAATGTTCTCCAACCTCTTTTTTTATAGTGATTTTTTTTTTTTTTTGGTAGTGATTGGATCATTTGTAATCTTCTTCTTTTTTTAGGGGGGGTCCGGTCATGGGGCTTGAACTCTGGGCCTGGGCGCTGTCCCTCAGCTCTTCAGCTCAAGGCTAGCACTCTACCACTTGAGCCACAGCGCCACTTCGGCTTTTTTCTTTTTTTTTTTTTTTTTAATTTTGGAGAGAGAGCTGAGAAAGAGAGGAAAGAGCTAGAAAAGAGCAGAGAGAGGGGTAAGAACAGTAGCACTCACGTGGTATTCAGGTAAGGGGTAGGTTTATTCAGTGGACCTGCTGGGACCAGGCAAGGTTGGCACTCCACGTGGCTGAGAAAGGCCTGGCAATGAGAGAGAGCTGGGAAAGAGAGGAAAGAGCTAGAAAAGAGCAGAGAGAGGGGTAAGAACAGTAGCACTCACGTGGTATTCAGGTATTCAGAAGACCTGCTGGGACCAGGCAAGGTTGGCACTCCACGTGGCTGGGAAAGAGAGAGGAAAGAGCTAGAGCAGAGAGAGCTAGAAAAGAAGAGCAAGAGCAAGAGAGCTAGAAAAGAAGAGCAAGAGCAAGAGCAAGAGCTAGAAAGGAACAGAGAGAGAAAAAGAGGAAAGAGCTAGAAAAGAAGAGCAAGAGCAAGAGAGCTAGAAAAGAAGAGCAAGAGCTAGAAACGAACAGAGAGAGAAAGAGGGCTTTTTTCTTTTTGCTTATGTGGTGCTGGGAA